CTGGCGACAGTCATTGCTGCCTACTAATATACCGTTGTAACCATACCCCTCGCCATTATGAAACGATCTTCAGGAAATTATAATTTATCATATGACGACCAGCATGTGAATATGCAGAGAAAGTAAACACATGTCAGATATGTGTAGGATGTGTTTAAATGGAATAGATATTTGGTGTATGATTAAACAAGAAGACAAATATGGAGAAAGTTGTGATACATAACTAACTTAGATGTGTCCGATTCACGGGCACGTAACACGTACCACTTGATTTACAACGGACATGGCTCAACTAAGTGATTGAGTTTAGTTTTACGCCGCTTTTAGCAATATTCCAGCAATATCACGTCGGGGACACCAGAAATGAGCTTCACACATTGTACCATGTGGGGAATCGAACCCGGGCCCACGACGTTACGAGCGAACCCTTTAACCCCAAGACTACCCCAGCGCCCAACTTGGCGCAGCTAGCAAATGCAACTAAAACCAACTACGTTAAATGTGATGATTAAGACTGACATTGTTTCGACAAGAATCTCTGTAATACAGGTGGTAGAACGAAGGACTTCAAAGCTTTTAAAAGTGTCGTGTTGAGACACGTATCCTACATTATCTAATGCTCTCAAACAGGAAACGGAAAATCTGACAATGAAAGGTCATCGCTTATGATCTGGTGCAGTCATATACATATGTACAAAATACCCCAGGGTTAGATCCCAACCTCAATAAAGTTTGCTTACTGCGACTCATTCTGCGCCTACGGTGTGTGTCGAGGCTCTTAATATCAATCGCAGGTTTGTCTAGTTTTGCTGAAATAGCAACGACTATCCTTGCTATCTCCGGTAACTGTAGTACCCCACTGGGACACAGCAGGCTGACTCCATCCTTGCTATCTCCGCTAACTGTAGTACCCCACTGGGATACAGCAGGCTGACTCCATCCTTGCTATCTCCGGTAACTGTAGTACCCCACTGGGACACAGCAGGCTGACTCCGTCCTTGCTATCTCCTGGTAACTGTAAGGAGCCAGTAATGTCGTTTTGTATGATGCGGCCATGGTTTTGAATCACCAACAGGCGCGTTCAAGAAACGTCATCGTACCATCACTGGGCGTGTGATTAATTTGCAGATCATTTACATGCCACTATGATATAGCTGAACTATTGATCAATGCGGCTTAAAACAACATTGAACCAGTGTTTGGGGTCAAATACACCATTGTCATGGTTTCCGTTGACTTTCACCTACACTTCAATTTCAAATTGTTCAATGCCATCCAGTTGTGATACAGGAAGGATTACTCTTTACAATGATATTATTTCTATGAATATTTCCTCATGGGAACTGCTTTCAGTGTGGCGGTAACGTAAATATGTTCAGAATACAGAAACATCGCAATAGAACACGGAAACAGAATCTGGCTAATACAAGGGTGTGATGCGATTCGAGGTGGTGGGTTTTATCAATGTGACCAGGCGCGCTGTTTAGGCACTAATGCCTGTTCAATGCCTAAAAAGCTGCGATTGTATGCAACGTTAATTCTCCCCAACTTTTGCAAGCCACCAACGCCTATGTAATTATTCCCCTGGCAAAGCAAAAGTATTTTTAAAGCATAGCCTTTTCGATCCTGCGCAACCAGTCAGTGTTCGAATCTTACTACATTGTCCCACCATGAGTGGTAGTGGGGTAGTCTAGTGGTTAAAGCGTTCGCTCGTCAAGCCGAGGACATTCGCACCCATTTAACTGGCGACAGCCATTGCTGCCTACTAATATACCGTTGTAACCATACACCTGGCGACAGTCATTGCTGCCTACTAATATACCGTTGTAACCATACACCTGGCTACAGTCATTGCTGCCTACTGACAAACCGTTGTAACCATACACCTTGCAACAGTTATTGTTGCCTACTAATATACCGTTGTAAACATACACCTGGCGACAGTCATTGCTGCCTACTAATATACCGTTGTAAACATACACCTGGTGACAGTCATTGCTGCCTACTGACAAACCGTTGTAACCATACACCTTGCAACAGTTATTGTTGCCTACTAATATACCGTTGTAAACATACACCTGGCGACAGTCATTGCTGCCTACTGACAAACCGTTGTAACCATACTCCTGGCGACAGTCATTGCTGCCTACTGATATACCGTCGTAACCATACAACTGGCGACAGCCATAGCTGCCTACTGATATACCGTTGTAACCATACACCTGGCGACAGTCATTGCTGCCTACTAATATAGCGCTGTAACCATACACCTGGTGACAGTCATTGCTGCCTACCAACATACCGTTGTAACCATACACCTGGCGACAGTCATAGCTGCCTACTGATATACCGCTGTAACCATATACCTGGCGACAGTCATTGCTGCCTACTAATATACCGTTGAAACCATACAACTGGCGACAGCCATTGCTGCCTACTAATATACCGTTGTAAACATACACCTGGCGACAGTCATTGCTGCCTACTGATATGCCGTTGTAACCATACACCTGGCGACAGTCATTGCTGCCTACTGATATACCGTTGTGCCTACCATACCGCTGTAACTGGCGACAGTCATTGCTGCTGCCTACTGATATACCTACTACCATCCAGGAAAATTGTAACACTGTGTTACAATTGCCCCATGTAAGTTTCAAATGATTCTGAAGGTTTAATGTTATTTAGTACAGATTTCATTAGAGTTGAACATATTTATTTTGAATATAGATTTATAATGTTTGTCATATAGATTTTGGGATACCAGAATAAGAATTTCCTGCTTATGAAATTGACAATCAAATGACGATGAGTGTTTAATTAGGAGATAAACTGTGTTGGAAACTCAGCGGTATATAACGGAATTATAATAGCTCTAAATATGATTTAAAAATAAAAAACAATTTAGACCTATTATAATTTCGTTATTTACCTCTGAGTTTCCAACATAGTATGTTTATCTCCATTCTACCATAATCACATTATTAAGATTAAAAAAATACATACTGAGCTGGAAAATTAGAGGTATATAACGTGTTTACTGAAGCCATGGTAGAATCCTAGTTCTTTACTAGTTTTATCACAATTGACCTTGTTTATGTTGATACAGTTTTGAAAATATTAGCCCTCGGGTGAAAGCTTTTGGTGTTAGTCTTTTTATCATATTTTGGGCAGTACCAAAACAAGAATTTTATACCAATAGTATTTTAGATATCGATGATGACAAAGGTTTAATGTTAATGTATTTCCACCTCAGTTGATCAAAGATGACATCTTTCCTCATTATATTTTGATTGTATTTGGAAAATACACAGATTGGTACATTTGTTAAACCTTTATTGTTACGATTGCCCCACCCACCTGTTACAATTGCTCCTTGCTAGGGGTCAATTGTAACACTTATAGTCATTGCATTTAATACGTAATAACTTTGTAACGACCTGATAGTGAACTTCAAATGACACTGAGATTTGACGCTAAGATGACAATGTACTAGTTAGTACCGATTAACTTTGCGATAGGTCTAGTATCGAATTACAACACGTTAAGTAAAAAGTGTTACAATTGACCCCGGTCTCTCCTACTCTGAAACTTCGCCGCTTCATGAAACTTAAACATTCTGGAAACGTCTTGCACTGTAAGTGTGATCTCATATCACCTCAAGAAAAGCCTTTGTGAACGTTATTATGACTGACTGTATAGCTTTTACCACAGCTAATGTATTCTACTGCCTTTTAATTGTATTGCCACCTAGTTCTGTTGTTATACAATAATTATTAATTGTCTAAACTTTCTTTGGGTTTAGACCCGTGAAGGTCCGGGTTAGAATATTGGCCAAATTGACACGTGCCAAATTATGTACTGACCGAGCAAACTCATTACGTATAGTCGTATGACACACTTGCTCGTGTAATAATCTCTATATATGATTTGGGGGTTAGTACAAAAGAAACACATGTATCTTTATATCTGAGCTCACGGGGACAACAGTAAATAACGTCCATGCATTGTATCACCATTCTGAATACATCGATAGAATGTACCTTCCTGCACACGCTGTGTCATCACCACCAGAATCGCAGGATGCTACACAAGATACTTTTCCTGGTCTTATTTGTCAACTGAATGTATCCATCTTGTGTAATAGATTGTCATTTCAAGGAATGTCAGATAAGTTACTATTGAATTCAGATTCTTTATTTACATTTGTCTTTACAGACAATCAGTAGTGCATACAAACACGAGAGTTGGTACGGGTGGATGACTGGTCATTGATTATAATGGAGAATGTACAGAAAATTGCCTATTATTTAGCATCATTTCAGCTCTGAGACAACAGGCTTTATACAAATATTTACCTTAATTACATAACTGTTTTACATTTCTAACACTTAAAAGATGAATAAGTTTATGCTTTGATGGACATTTGTAGTAATATGGTTTATATATACTTTTCTATAATTAATTATATAAAATGGAACTCGTCTTCAATATCGTCTTCACAACAAACACATTTTCTTTCTGTTATATAAACATTACTGTTTACATTACTGTATCTGCCAGTTTCTAAAGCTCATTTATGAGAATTTAGTCGGAATTTAGATAAATATTTCCCAAAGAGGAGCGGGATAGCTTTACATAGGTAATATTGCAGTGTACAATTATCAATATCAGGTTGTCTGGTCCAGACTCGATTATTTACAGACCGCCACCATATTGCTGGAATATTGCTGATTGTGGGAATTATAATATTGCTGATTGTGGCATTAAGCACCAACCAAGCAACCAACATTCGCTCTGATATTGATTCCTTAGTTGGTCAACACCATACATATCCCGCCACCCTTCGCACTGTGACGTAACTGAAATACTGGTTACAAGGGCAATACGCGAGACAGGCTCAAAACATGTATATATAAAAATAGGGAGATTTACACAAAGGTCCACAACAACCCTATATTTCTCTTTTTCAGGTCATCGTATCCCAATTTCGTAGATCGACTAGGCCGATGTTCATGCTGTTGATCACTGGAATATCTGGTCTAGACTCTAGATTATTTACAGAGTGCGGCAATCAATCAATCAGTGATGGGCAACATAACGTCTGAAGGTAAAGTGAGGCGCTGCCATACATGTCAGAAGCCTACCACCTTGGTTTGGAATGCCAGATTTATCCTGACGGTGTTAAATGGGTTTGTCCGAACCATACCCTCGATCGCGAGTTTCACTGAACATGTAAATGTGATATACGGAAGTTGTGCACAAATGACTGTTGAACCGAGCTCACTCACTACTGGAAGATTGAGCCTATATCTTATGCGCCTGCATATCGTCTACTTTTAAAGCTGATAAAAGTTTCCGGTTCTCTATCTGACATTGGACAACAAGAATTGCAGTAAATATCGTCCGGAATGGATACTTGGCTGTTCTGGAAATATTTATGTAATGTTAGAATAGACCTCTCTCAGCAACTCAACTAACAATGGTTTTATTTTCATTTCAGGCTGTACAAAAGAAGACATTATCAAGATAGCAGGTACGTATGCTGTTATTATTCTCTGTCTGATAAATACATTTCAGTGAACCATGTCCAGCTTACAAGTGCATGCCATTTAAAAAAAGACACTGTTGGATCAGTCTATTATATCAAGCATATCTGTAACGGACGATGAGTCATTTGAAGAATTAAATATACTTACACTACCCGCGTTCATGCTCTTACATGGTTCAATTGACATTTTCTGGCGGGTATCATTTGTTGAGGATTAAGTGAACTTCTGACTAATAAGGCTATGATTATGATTTTGTTTATATTTGAAAAGGAACATTTTTATATCACAATGCTGTTTTAGATCCACCCATTGAAGAATTCTGATGCAATATCTTACAAAGTTTCCCGTCCAGAAATGTAGGGAAGCTTACTCGGACGTGACAGTTCCATGTGTGACTCTATATGACTGCATCCCATGAAGATCCGGGTTAGAACTTCAATATCCCATGCTTGTCGTAACAGGCGACTAACCGGATCTGGTCGTCAGTCTAGCCGACTTGGTTGACACATGTCATCGTATCCCAATTGCGTAGATCGATGCTCATGCAGTTGATCACTGGATTGTCTGGTCCTGCCTCGAATATTTACAGACCGCCGCCATATAGTTAGAATACTGCTGAGTGCGGCGTTAAACAACAAACTAACACACTTTATGACTGCTTCAAGTTATCCTCGTCTGTTCCGCCATGTCTTTTGTGTTGTGCACATAGATAATATAACTGATCACTCTACAAAACAAGGTTGACAGTATCAACGTACCTGTTGTAAATGTTATTGATGCTGTTACGGTTAAATGATTGCTGTGACAAAAGGTTTAAGAGTCCCCTTTGAACCAGCAAAATATAACACAGACAAGTCTAAAATTGACAAACTTTATGGATAACAACGTCTTTATTACGAGAGTGCGACGTTTCGATACAGATTCTTCTACCGTTGTCAAGCAGGAATGTAACATACATTGGTGGCAAAGTATATATACTGAGTGTAACAAAGAAAACAAGGTAATTAACACAACAGGGTGGGCTTAGAGGTGATGAAGCCAGTGGGTAGACAATGGGGGAAGGCATGGGAGCCAGAGATGTACAAATGAAAAGGGGTGGGTAGTTTAAACAAGGAGGAGATGTTTATACAGCTGTTTGAGTTTGGTGGAGGAGTGCATCATAAGCAGAGGGAATGTAATATCCTTGATCTCGATTGACGGTAGGCTTATGGCATTTGATATGAATGGCTTCGGTGAGTCCTTTTGGTTGTTGGCCATAGATCATAGATGGCTGATTTGCTTTCGGACTTGGTGACGGAGGTCTGGTGTTCTTTCACACGGGTGTTGATAGGCCGGGAGGTTTCGCCTATGTAACTCTGTCCACAATCACAGTTTATTTTGTAAATCACACATTTCGGGGTTGGATGGGTTTTTTCCCGTTAACATGGAGCAGGTTCTTCAGGCTGGAGGATGACGAGAAGATTGTATCGATGCCTGCTTGTTGTTTTAGGAGTCGGCTGATTTGGTGTGATGGTTTACCAATGTAGGGAATAGAGATCTCGATGGGGGCTGAATCAGGCTTGGGTCTATTGGCGGGAGGTGACAGGGTAGCAGCAATGGTTCTGTGGACTATTTGGGCTGGGTAGTTGTTTAATTCTACAAAGGCTCTCTTCAGATGTTGAATTTCTTCGTGCAGGTTTGTTGAGCTTCCGTCAATTTTGTACTTCCCAGCTTCTAAAATGCCACTCAAAGAAGACAAGTCTAAAATATTCAATAATAAAATTATATATGGAGCAAACAATGAGCAAGCTACAATGAATGACAATACATATATTTAGTACAATGCAATTGAGTCACAAATCTAAAGTATTGGGTAAATATGAAATATTAACTCACCAGAGTCTTGGCATTTACAATGAGAGCAGATTTTAATTGAAGGAAATTTACAATGAGAGCAGTCAGGCTCGCACTGTCATGAATGTAGGTCAGGCGATGGCAGACAGATTGATACAACTCCAGTGATATGAAAAGTCCGTATGTGATTCCGTGATTGTTGGCAACACAACAACCAGCCTATATATATATACTGACAGAGTGTCTAGAACATTCGAGTAAAGGTGGGCAGCATCATTATCCACTTAGAACTTAATGCGATTTTCTCGAACATACGACCGGTCAAAACAATAATAAAACGAAGGCAGGCAACTTAGGAGTGCTATCTCAAAAGTACCGCTAAAATACTATTGCCATTGAACATATATGATGCGAAATGTGACCGATGATAACTATAACCTAATCAATGATAATGCAAATTACAAAACACACACTCTCGTAACAATGTATATGACTTTTGTCCTTGAGTATATATTTTATATCAGGAGACACAAGAGACTGCTAGTGTATGATCTTCGGATTATTAATTCAACAGCAGGATACAAAGAGCGACACCATAGTTTGGATTCCGTTGTATATTGTAACAGAGATCTCAGCTATGTGATAATGGTAGTTATTTGACACACTTACATCAAGAGTAACCAATCACAGACCAGTGTCCAGGACAAAATGAGTTTCAATTTATTGTAATTTAAGTTCATAAACGCTTAAAATATGTTCCATAATCCCAACTAACCGGCGTTTTCATTGCTGGAAATGGACTACATAAACTACTGATACTCATTCCACATCGTTTTATTGAGAGCTCAACTATATGCCCGCTCGTTGGCATTGCACTGGGCGTGACGGACTTGACTGACTGATGTTACATTAGCGGTAACATGGCTACACTCAATCATTCAAATAAATGTGGACGTGCTGAGTTGTTGTGAAGGGAGTATGCTCACCAAAGGTATGGCAGAATGTGTGACTTTCATATGGACCCTTAAAGGCGCATACGTGTTACACAATGAATCACAGAACTCTTCCGAACTTATGTAAGGTGATGGAAGCAAGATGTCATTTGACCAATTTCCACAAATGTTTTTCAGGGATTGCTTGTGCCATAGAGGCAGTGGTCTTTGCTGTAACCGTCGCCATCTACTGTTTGATCCAGCGGTAAGAAAATTAATTTTTATATAAATATGTTCATTTTTTATGTCCAGCTGACCTACATGATCTTCATGACAAAAACGAAGACAATATATCTTCACGGGTCTAACTGATGGAACGAGGCTGGGTTGATTGTGCATTGCTAGACAATATGGCCTGCAGGAGTCTGTATGTACATATGCATGTATCAAATGATATACTGAGGGAGAAAAATAGAAGCACCAGCCTTCCTCTATTTTTTGTATCCCATAGCTTGTGAAGAAACCTGGAATAAAATAAAGGAACACATGTGCTTTCACGCGATCCCTTATTTTATTCCCTCAGTATTTATTCGGGAATACACTTTCTCAGTAAAGTACAGGTTCAAGTAAAGCAACCCAATTACTGCCACAGTGTTCATAAGGACTGGAATCCTATTCGTTCTTCAGGTGAGATGTATATAAAAGTGTAGCCATGTTAACATTTTTCATATTGACAATTTTTATTAGTACGTGCATATTAACGTAGTTTCATTCAACCCGATTCAACTATTCATAAAACTGCTTTCAACTAGAATACACATTAATATGAACTTAGAAACAATCAGGTGTCTAATTCCATTTTTAAGAAGGGTTGAAAGGAGTTCATAGAACTTGCATGTCACCTTCACAGAACCGCCAAGAAAATACCTTACAATCGACATGATTATTTCCTTATTTATTGAACAACTTACATCTTAATGTTGCGAAAATGTACTTGATCTGTTCCAGAAAAAAGAAACAACCAAAGCGAGTTTCGCCGAAAGAAAGGGTCGCAATATATCGCCCAGCGCACCTAAAGCCTGACGACACCAAGAATGGTTATTCAACTGCTGACGTCGAGTTTGAAAGCAGAGATCACCAATGGAGCGCGAAAAACCCGCAACATGGTGAAGTTAATGAGAATGATTATGACGTGTTGTGGAAGTGGAACCCAAGGCTGTTCAAGGCATCCGAGAGTCAAGGCGTGTACAGTCATCTGGCGGCGACAGACAGCATGAGTGAGAGTGCGGACACAGATCAGTATGACACGACACGGCGGGTACTGTCTTCACGACGGGCAAGGCCCGAGGAAGAGTTATATAACAAGATGGCCGTGCTTGACGAGTAGATTCCAGTTCAACTGGTCATCACTCATCGTCATCATGCTTACATGCGGTTATTGGCCATTGTGAGCAGCTTTTCCAGGAGTAGAAAACCCAGTGTCAGTATTCTTTGTGCAACATGCGTTTTAACTGTGTGGACGTCCACTCGAAACACTACGGTTTGAGAGATGAGTAGAAGTCGTGAGGTTGAAGTGACTGTCATGACACCAGGCAAAATCTCCAGGGTTTACGTTACGATCACTCTCCACTATACCCTGGATTCATCCACGGCTTGGCCCGATAATTTTATTACCTCCCTTTGCTGGCTTTTTATCCAATCAGGTGTCTACGCTGGGAAGTTGAGCGAACCAATCACAGCTAACGTTTGCTTCTTAAATTATCTAACCGTTTAAACTTGGCAACACAATTGATGCACAGGTACTCTGAAAGAGGTAGAAGTTCTTTCATATATTTTTTTAAGTTTCAGATCTGTCAGTTTGTCTGTATTATTTCCCCTAAAATCTGAGTGGCACTGCGAACAAACTTTCGCGCCTGCGACCGCTATCTTTGTTGACACTGACACGCTCGGATGTAATGGCGGCTTCGCTGATTGGCTACTGTGAGAATGCGGAGCCAGCAAAGGGAGGTAATAAAATTATCGGGCCAAGCCGTGGATGCATCCAGGGTATAGGGGAGAGTGACCGTAACGTATACCCTGGAGATTATCGAGGATGCAGCCGTGACTGATATTCCTGAACCCACGTCACACAGTGGATCCACGACTGGAGGAGGAGTGGGGGACATACAAACCAGTGAAGAACTGGCAGAGACACTATGACCCGAGTTTTGTCAACAGTGACTGAAACAGAAGAAACGATCATCACAACACAAAACAATTTCGTGAAGACTTTACTGCGAATAACGCTTTCCCGTAGACCAATGAGAGCTACAGTAGTTGGCCATAAGTGAGTCACCATTAGTGAAATTTTCATAAATTTAGTTTCGGTCGAATTGCTTTGAATACTTATCTACCACCTGGGAAATCACCTCAGCTACAGGGATGGGTTTGTCTCAAATATAAACGTGCACAAGGACGACATTCCATTATTAATGAATAGATATAATATGACATACATACATGCATACATACATACATACATACATACATACATACATACATACATACATACATACATACATACATACATACATACATACATACATACATACATGTACATACACACATACATGCATGCATGCATGCACGCACGCGCACACACACACACACACACATACATACATACCTACGAGATGAGTCCAGTTATTTCTGGAAATAAAGAAAATCTAGACTCATCTTTTATACATTTATTGCTTATACACCTTCAGAAATTACTTGTTTATATAATATATTATTCCGCTTGGCAGTTTCGTTTCAAGCAATTTAATTGATAACACACGTTTACTAAATATGATGTACGTACATAAATAATAAATAATTTAAAGAAATTACAATGACTAATTTTTCCTCTTGGAAACATACAAATCCTGTAATATGTATGGGGCGTGGCCCTTTGGGTGTTGACCTGGGAATTACTCTCCTTCCTTTGTCTGAGAGGTACTTACTGCATTCACGTGTATCCTGGTGGCTATTCCTGGTTTCAAATATTACATCAAACACACTGTGTGTAAATACGGTAATATGTGTAACATAAGTGCACTTCATCGTGTCTGCATTGTAAAAATAAGTGTGATCATTAGTCGAATGAAGAAGAATCATTGTATCGAAATTGTCATGAAACAATGGATACATAACCCCCTTTGTCTTCACCTCCTGTCTTCACACAGTCGTCAACACTGACTTTCTGACTTTCGAGTAGCCTAGTGGTTAAAGCATTCGCTCGTCACGCCGAAGACCCGAGTTCGATTCCCCACATGGGTGCAATGTGTGAAGCCCATTTCTGGTGTCCCCCGCTGTGATATATTGCTGGAATATTGCTAAAAGCGGCGTAAAACCATACTCACTCACTCACTCTGGCCCAAGTCGCGACGACACAGAAGGTGCTAATAAACGGAGGTAGGATATGTTTGTATATGTGTGGGTTTTTTCTTGCACAAGCATTCATACATAATTACGATACCATCGCAGACATGACAACAAGAGACAAAAGTTCGATAAATAGTTATCCTTTCAGCTGAAGCACGAGAAACTTATCAGTGAATTATACGACCAGGGAGGTAGTCCGTTACAATATGACCTTACGTTATCACCGTGGAGTAGAGAATGACAGACTTGGACTTTCACACTGACAGGATAGCCAGTTTGTACCCAAACATGTGTTACATTCTCTACGTGTCCACTGTAGCATATCTTTCTGTGTGAGGATTCATTATAGTATTACGCGCTACTTGGACACTCGTAATATCTGGACACAGGATGGTGAGTGAGTGAGTTTAGTTTTACGCCGCACTCAGCAATATGCTATCGATATGACGACGGCCTGTAAATAATCGAGTCTAGATCAGACAATCCAGTGATCAACAGCATAAGCATCGATCTACGCAGTTCGGATACGGTGACATGTGCCAACCAAGTCAGCGAGCCTGACCACCCGATCCAGTTAGTCACCTCTTACGACAAGCATGGGTTACTGTTACCAATTGTAAACCGGATCTATATAATCACAGGATGCTATATAATCATAAAAATAATTGCGTGTTTGCAGGACGTGTGCGGCATTGGTTTCAGATTTTCCGACTGGTGTTGAGCGAGCCCGAAATGTAAGAGATCGTAGACGTTCACCAAGAAACCCATGAGCAACACTTGTGGCTGACACACCTGGAGACGTAATCAATGCGAATCTGGGATTCCAACCACGTACCCATCAGTTAGTACGGCAAGCATGGGGTACTGGAGGCCTACGATAAGTGTGCAAAGGGTAAAGCGATATTACCACTTGTGCTGAAGAATGTTTGACACGTGGTAGGCGGTCGGTCATATACTGATTACAGAGTGACAAATACAAGTTTTTACTTCGTAAAGCTCAGCATTAGTTCTTGGGTGTTTTCATAATAGAAATCAGCATGATGGGTTGAAGGGTAGTTTTGAACATTCTAACCAGGGAAGAGTGCTTCCTTTGTAAATTACGTCCAGGAACACCCCCCGACACAACCTGCAGATACAGTTACTCCCGATAAAAGTATAAGCAATAATCAACTTGCAGTGCATTGGAAGATCAGAGCGAGATCTCCGCCAATGGAATGAGTGCAGTCAAGAACTCCCACCACTTGATTTAAAGAAGTGTGAGAAAGGGTGGTGACACCAGGGGTGATGAGACCAGGAGGATTGGAATTACCCGAGCATTCGTGCTCAAAACACGGGTTTATCTGGTCCAGATGGATTATTTCCAGGCCACCGTCATATTGCGCGGATGTTACTAACTTCGGCGTTGAAGAAAAGACAGACATGCACATTTACATTTCTTTCGCCATCTACCTGTTAGAAATTTTGGGTTTTACAAATTGAATGACTGTGCAATATCACAGCATTACTGCAGTCAATATATGTTCAAGCCGAGACAAGACAATTAAGTGACTGAGTTGAAAGGTGCATGTTTGCTTCACGTAACGTAGATTATCTGCCTCCAAAGATATGGGTCTCAATATACAGAAATCATACCGATTTATAACTGAGAAACCAATTTTGTTATCTGAAATACTGTTTATTTGAAAACACAACATGAAACAGACAATACACTAAAGCAGGCAGTTCAATAATGTGTTACAGTCTCCTCAAAAGTGGATGATCTGCTGCCAATCGGCTCGATGAACACTGCTTCAAAATCGAACGATCTGTTCCCTCTAGGCTCCATAAACATTGCTTCAAAGTGAGATGATCTGTTCAGATCTCGTCTCCATAAACACTGCTTCAATATCGGTTCCTACCCGGTTCCATAAGCATTATCTCAAAACGAATTATATCTTCCAACTCGGCTCTCTGAACATTACTTTGATTATCGGATGAAATTTTCCTAGCTGTGACACCAGAATAGGATTAAATATATGTACAAATTATTGGTTTAATGTTACCTGTAAATCAGTTCCTGATATCTTACAATTTAGATGCAAATATATTTTCTTTTATTAGAAGGTCTCTTAAATTGAATGGGAGACATCTTGAAATGAATTAAAGATATTTCAAATAGAGATAATGTATTTAGTAATTACTGATATCTTACTGACAGCGTTAGGTTAGTTGCGCGAACCAACAGTGAAACCAGTTTACAGTGACCCAGCTGAAACAGTCGGCATTTGGTCTGAAGGTCCCCCCGATGTTTGTGCCTGGTCTATCTTGAACTACCAAGGCTCCTGCAGCCTCGCGGGCGGTGGGGTAGCCTAGTGGTTAAAGCGTTCGCTCGCCATGCCGAAGACCCGGGTTCGATTCCCCACATGGGTACAATGTATGAAGCCCATTTGTGCTGTTCCTAGAATATTGCTATAAGCGGCGTAGAACCATACTCACTCACTCACTCACTAACTCACCCTAGGAGATTCGAGATTACAAATCATCTAGACATATTAATTCCCATGCTATTCCTTACAACACACCGAAAACTAATTATTCTATAACACGTTACGAGCTTCTACTGAATATTAACAGAAACTATGTAATTTGATTACAAAACTGTTTGGCATTACGCAGCAGTCCAATATAACAATCATCTTATGTGTTTTACGGAATGAAACATTTTAACATGACAGCAAGACTGATTTCTTAAAGAAAATACATACAAAACAACGTTTAGGAAATCACCAATTCATTACCCAAATTCGATTTCTCTCCCAACATGCAAACATAATACACATACCTCGAAGATAACTAAAAATAGCCATAAAAGGCATGTGTCACCTCACAAAATTCCCTTACAAAATATGACGTAAGTGATGAAATCACCTTTCAGTTAAACTGCGATTCCTCACATAGTGAGCGAGTTAAAAAAGTTTTACGCCCCACTCAGCAATATTCCAGCTATATGGCGGCGGTAAATAATCGCGTCTGGACCAGACAATCCAGTGATCAACATCACGAGCATCGTTCTACGCAATTGGGGACACAATGACATGTGTCAACCAAGTCAGACAGCCTGACCACTTGACCCCGTTGGTCGCCTCTTACGACAAGCATGGGTTACTGCATTGAAGACAAATTCTACCCCGGATCTTCACGGGTCTCCACACATAGAAGCGTTTTGTGGCATTTGTTCGAACTGTATTCAAAACCCAGCTGTTTGTATTTGCTGTACTCAGTGCATCGCGCAAATCTGTAGTCTGTAGCATGACATCCGTTGTTCCCATCCTTGCAACACTGGTGCCCA